CCGCCCGGATCTCAGCGCACAGGTCGTTAAATGACACGCGACAACGTCCGCTGTGCTGGAACGATTCCCCGCTATTGTTGAGGCCATCGGGAACGTCCATCCGACCGGTGGTTGCGGAGATATGCTCTCCCACGGGGGCAAGGTGGCGCCGTAGGGCGGTGTCGTAAAAAGCTAGTATACGAGATCGCCCTTTGGTCTCAGCGCACAGGTCGTTAATTGACACGCAACAACGTTCGCCGTGCTCGCACGAGTCCCAGCTATCGTTGAAGCCATCGGGTGCGTCGATTCGACCAGTGGTTGCCGAGGTTTGCTCTCCCATGGCGCCGTACGGCGGCAGGCCTTTTGACCTGGGTCGGGCTTAGGACAAGACTTCGCCTTTTGAACTGCATGTGTCCACCTGCTTTCACACAAGTATCCAGGAAGTTACCCTCGATCAGTTTGGGGTTGGTCGCGAATAGTTCCGACGCGGCAAAACCTAAGGCGTGGGTGGCGATCGTTCTTTTTTTTGCAGGCCGTGTTGGGTGGAGAAGTACCACGACATTTGGGTGTTCCAAGGGCACGAACGCAGGCCCACGAAGATTCATTTGTACCGCAGTCTTAGGCCAAATGCCAACAACGAAGAAGATGGCGGTCAGTTTGTCCAACCGGGGTCCTTGCCGGGGAGTGTGTGTGCGTGGACGTAGGAAGATGAAGAGATACGTGTTGCTCGGTGAAGAGGATATTTCGTGATGGTGTGTGTGCGAATCGTGCTGTTGCCGATAACTCACCCGGGCACTTGGTCGACCAAGTGCCCGGATGTTTATCATTCGTGGGATTTCATTCCCGTGCGGCCTAACATCGCAGATATGAACGTCAGCACATTGTGTATATTGCCCTCGCCACAGATGCTCCCACAACGTATCTTCCTCCGAACCATTGCGACGTCAACGACCTGCGAGGAACCCCTCCCCCCTGGTAGGCAACCCACCGTCGTTGAGCTCAACACTCTGCTCCCAAACGCACGTCAAAGCACCGCCGAGTCAAGAACATCATCGGTATAACAATACGCTCTGGTGATCTCCGACTGTACGGAAGGGTGACGTTACCCCAACGGCAAACGCTACTCTTTCTTGCTTGGGGAAAAACCACTACTAAATAGAGACGAAGGCGCAGCCACCCAGGGGGGATATCCTTGATCC